TAGAAACTTGGAGGCGTTTATTTGTGCATTTTACAACTATGAAAGAAAAATTATATTTTAAGAATCATTAATAATAATAGATAAAATTTTACGAGGAGTGGCAACTTACGTTTATTAGTGATTCCACCTTTAAATTGCACAAGTTCTAAATCATCATTCCTCCACGATTCGAATAGTAATAAAGCAACTTCTTTAGAGCTTTCATGCAAATTTGTAGTTACCACGGTATGGTCAATAAATTTAAGGTCCTCGTAAATATTAGCTTCTACCATTATGAGCTTAGTTTAGTAGTTAAACATAATTATTTGAAATTTCTTCGATTATCCGTCCAGATTAAAGTTGCGGACATTTCTTAAGAGTAACTACCTTTATAAAAATATTACGGCAATACGTCACATTTGACATAGACGTAATAAGTGAAAAGGTGCCGTATGCCATAAACAATGCCGTATGCCGTAAATAATGCCATATGCTGTAAATAACGCCGTATGCCGTATGTCATAAAAAATATAGGAAGCTACTATATGATTCACCATGCATTTGGTGCACCTCCCTGTATCTCAAAATTTTATTAAGACAACCCTGTTGTATAACTAATGAAAAATGTTTATTACACAATTTTAAGCCTAACCCAACTCTAACCCTAGCCCTAACCCTAAGTCTAACTTTAATAATAATAGTTTATTTGAATTATTTGACAATATTGCAAAATTTTACTAGGGTAATCCTGTTGTGTGACTAATAAAAATATTTCTTGTACAATTTTACCAATAGAGCAACTATAATCTTAACCCTAATTCTAACTCTAACTCTAATATTATACTTATTTAATTTATACAAAAGAAAGTGCACCAAATGCATAGATGCACCATTTAACATTTTCCAAAAATATATATACTATATACTATAAACAATATTGAAAAGATAAAAAAAGGTAGTAAAAAATATTACAATATCAATGTTATAATATAAGGGTGCCACTATTTCCACTATGGTTACACAAGATTTTCTATTTTTAGATAATAATATAAAAAACTTATAACCCTAACACTAACCCTAACCTCTAACCCTAACACTAACTCTAATCTCTAACTCTAACCCAAACCCTAAAACTAATAAGTAAATATTTCTTCTAGCTCTAAATAAACTTGTAGAAGAGACTTTTCTGGTTCTAATAGTGGTTAGTTCATCAAAATTGGCTTGGTGAATCCCAAAATATTTGGGGTTAAAGGTCATAGGCAGACATTTATATAATTGGCTAATTTTTGTAGATCTACCTGTGATTTTCCATGATAATTTTTTTTTTTTTTTTAAATCTTTGACAGTCTTGCCAGTGCTCAATTTATTGGGATTATATTTCAGGTGAGAGCTAAGCTCTCTTGAACAATATATATATCATTCATAACCAAAAAACAGGGAGTCTCGCGATTGCGAGCCTGACATCACCCGGCTGCGATAAATGTGCCCAACTGCAACTTGTCACACTAACCTGTATACAAGTTAGATAAACTTTGTCAGCCCGTCAAAGCTTTTCTCTTCATATCTCCTTTCTTTACCAAGAGCAAAAGAAAGTGATGATCTCACAGAAAACCACCAATACGATTAAGAAAACAAACTGGAAAACTAACTAAAAAAAAACAAGTAAAACGAAGGGGTATTTTTAAAGGAAACAAAAAGAGGGTACAATGAGATGTAAAAAAGAAAACACAAAGAGAAAAGCCCGAGGGCTGACAAAAGAGTGAACTACCTCTATAAAGAAATAGCATAGAGGAAACAAAATAAAAAAAAAACAAAACAAGAAGAAATATACTATTATAGCCCATGCCAGGTTTAAGAAAAAATTTTATAACAACTGCAACATTTGTATATCTCGACTATAATATAAGACCTTTATTATCTGACTACCGGCCACCTCCAGATGTCTCTTATACCAGAGACCCGATTCCAGTCACATGAAAATCCCATATCTATAGACTACGTCATGTATCGTATCTACCGATAAACAAGGCATGTGGTTGCATTCCTGAGTACATTCGAATTTGGGAGGTAAACAATGCCGATCTTTTGGAGGGGGTAAGCTAAATCACCTACTTTTTGTTGAAAATTTTGGAGAAGACTGACAGGACCAAGAGAGACTTTAAAGAAGGACTACTAGCATCCAAAGAAGGTATTTTATCCTTGAAAGAACCGATGACTAGTAATCCTTTTTCTAGGAAAGGGGAGGAGCTACTGTACTTAAACAGTAAGTGATAAACTCTGAACTTGTCGGCAAGTAGCGTATAAGAACTACTTCTAAATGACAAGTGCCGTACCAGCGGTGAGTAATAAACTCCGAAGAAGTTAGCAGGTAGTATATGAGAACTACCTCTAAATAACAACTGCCGACTTAAGGCTTCCAGTTTTATGCTCTCCATTACTTACTAGTTATTGTTTTTACAAAAATTGTTTGGGAAATTTTGGTTTTAGTGATCGTCAGAAAAAGTTGTTTTTAAGAATCTAAACTATTATGTTTTCTGTGATAATTAATTATAATTTTAACTTATTAATTTATATGGGTATTAAACTAAAATTTAAGTATCGATATGATTTAAACAAATTTACAGAGACATGAATAAGATTTAAATACTACATACAACTAAAAAAGCATAAAATTGTTTAAAAACTTGTACATGACTAAAAAAAAAAAAATACAACTAAAAAAAAATAAAAATTTTTAAATATTTTGTATGATTAAAAAAACTTGCAATATTTAAATACTGCATTCAACTAAAAAACTTTATTGAAAAAACACTGTTTTAAATACTATATTCAACTAAATCTATTTATCATTGGTTTATATTGTTGTTATTCTCTCTATAGAAACTAGGTAAATGGAAACTATTCAAAGTTCAAAGGACCAAATATAAATTTTAAATTTAATTTATACTATATATAAATTTATATAGTATTTAAAATTATTTGTTTTTAAGCAACTCTTTCTGATGATCATCAAAACCAAATTTTCCCACTAATAGAAAAATAAAATTTTTTGTTGGAGAGTCGTGGCCTATATTATGGTTTGTCTAGAGGTCAACGTTTTGCTGTATGGAACTCCTCTAAAGAGACATTTGGCATACAAGCCAAGAGCGTTATTATATGAGTTAGCTGGCAAAAGATGCTCTTGTATAAAAAATCTTGGTGGAGTATAGACAAAGAGCTCACTTTCATCAACAAAGTTTCTAGATTATTACTTCAAAGAAGAACACAGGAGAAACAACAAAACTTTTTCTTTTCTAAAGCCACACTCTTTCTTTTGGTTTTGGTGGCTCTTCTCTTTTTTTTTCTCATCCTTCCATTAGTCTTTCAAAATTTTTTACAAAAAGTGAAGATTTGGCTTACCCTCTCCAAAAGATCAGCATTGTTTACTTTCCAAATTCGAACAGACTTAGTAAAATGCAACCACATGATGTGTTTATTTATAAATACGGTGCTACTCCAGGAAAGTTGGAACAGGACCTCCAGTTAAAGAGATATCCGAAAGCAGTCATAAGTCAGAAGAACTTTGTACATTAAGGCGAAGCTTTACATTAGAGATATACAATTGTTTTATTTGTTATATAATTTTTTAGCCTTGAACAGGTTATAATAATGCATTCTTATTATGTAGAGAGGTGAAACTCCTCTTTACACTTTATTCTGGTTCTATAAAATTTTTTTATTTTTTTCCGTTTTTTCTTTTTTTTATTTTTTTTTTATTTTTATTTCACTCTTTTCCCTTTCCTCTCTTTTGCTCATTTCTCCTTTTTAGTCATAGTTCGTTTTTATTTTTTATAGAATTTTTTTTGGATAATTCCAGTCATCCGTGATCTGGTAGGACAGAGTTGCTCTTAGGCCTGAGTTAGGTTTCGCACCATGATATGGAACCAAGTGAAGTCAGACTTCTTATCAGAAATTTATGTGTTTATAGTTTTTATAAATATTAATAAATAAGATTAGTCATAGCGAGACCCATCGACATTAAAAAAAAAAAAAAAAAAAAAATTATTTGTTTTTGCAATAAAACCTTCAAATTTAATAGAAATAGGCTTTTTTTTTTTTTATGATAAATTTAACTACATATCAGTTTGTTTTTTATATTGTACCTGATCTAGCCAATAAACATTAGTTTCGGTTATTTTTTTTTAATCTTTTATGTTACACCTAATCTAGTCAATCAGGTTTTAGAATTTGTATACTATTGACCTACTTAGTAGTATCTTTCGAACAATAATCTTTATATTCAGGCACTCAATATAATTCTTTTTAGATTATACAAAAAAATAATAAATTTTTTTATTTTTTTACAAAGAGGATAATTCTGAGTTAAATGGTGATTAGATAATCAAAATCAGGCTAGTAATTATTGAGATATGTGGGATTAAAGATCTAAACATAAGGATTAACAAAATAAATACTTTGTATAATAGTAACTTCGCTAATCTTTATGTTCATGCCTTTAATCCAAGATATCTTAAGAACTACTAGACCGATTTTGATGATCTAACCATTATTGGACTCGGAATTATCTCCTTTACAACTTTGAAGATATTTTTACTTAATAACTTCTTGTATAAATTTAAAAAAATTATTGACAAATCAGAATAACAAATTGAATATTATACAATTTAAGTGAATTATTTATATTAATAGTCTAAACATTATCATTACACACAAATATTTTTAATATATAGTTATAGATTTTTTTTAATATTTAAAGTAAGACCTTGCTTTTATCTTTATTAAGCTTAATGAAAACTTTTTACATAATGAAAAAGGTTTTAAAATTTAAGCCTAGTGCTAAAAATATGAACTCAAACATCTGTATTTTATATTTATTAATTTATACTAAAATAGATATTAATTATAAAATCTGTAAAAAGTAGTAAATCAGTTTGCAACTCTTTTTGTCAATCACTTGTACCAAAATTTTAACAAATGGAAAACACCACTTTTGTTAAAGAGATGTGGCTTTACGGTGGTTTGTCTGGAGATTAACTGCTTATCTAGAGAACTCCTCTATAAGCTGACATTTGGCATGCAAGCCAAAAGCATTATTATACAAGACAACTGGCTATATGGTGCTCTTGTATAAAAAATTTTAGTGAAGAGACTGTTGAGCCTCTGCTATTAACAAAGCTTTAAGGCTATTACTTCAAAGAAGAATACAGGAGAAATAACAGAAGTTCTGAACTTCTAACATGCTCTTTGAAAATTTTGAAAGTACCTGCAACTATATACCTTTTACTATATTTTTGTAGTTTTGGAATTTTTTAGAAATTTTGGCCAAAAAGTAAGAAAATTAGCGTACCCTCTCCAAAAAATCAGTATTGTTTACTCCTTCCAAATTAGGATGCGTTTACTGAAATAGAACCTCTTACAAGCTTATTTAAATTCTGCTTTGCCAAATAAACAATAATAGTGGTACTGTTTATAGTATAGAGGATTGAAGAGATCATGTGTAGAAATTTCTTAACATCAAATATATTTTTTTTCTTTCCACTTCTTTTAATATATATAGTGTT